TTTTACAAAGTACGCCTGTGAAATGTGACGTTATATCCCCACTTTTACAGCACTCCTCTTTTATTCAGATTAAAATATTACATACAATAAGTTTTTCACTGTCAATATCACAATAAATATTATGCATGTTATGACACATGACTTCTACAAAACATATTATAAAAAGAACCATGAAATATTTAAATGAAAAATATTTAGAAAACTCTAAGAATCTTATCATGATAGTATAAACATGTTTGACGATTTATGAATACTTTTGTTCCCTGATTATTTTTATTTGGAATTTTATCACATACCTACTTTAATGACTATTAAGCAAGTAACTAAAAAATATTTAAATATTTGATTCCATTCTTTAGTTTTTCCATCCAAAAGAAATTTCTTGTGGAGTGTACAAACAACTACATTTTTATTAAATGCGTCCAATTCTTGTTCCTTAATAAAAGAACTGACAATTGGAAATATTTCTTGCAACTAAGACACTTGGGCAACTATAACCAAAAAACTTCGAAAGCCTAGTTGAATTTGAGCAAGAATATGCTACTTAAAGGACTGTTTAAAAGCTACCTAAAAAATAGATATTCAATTGTTAAGCATAATGGAAACACATCAAGGAAATTTATAGCATATAGTGGAGTGACACAGAGCTCTAATCTAATCTAATTGCTTTTTCTTTAATTTTATCAACGATTTATCGTAAATTTACTGTATGTGATTCCTATTTGGGTTTAACTCCATGTACAAGACCCCTAAACAAGTATTACCCTACCTCCCGAAAGACTACTTTTTTCTAATCTTTTTCTATTTTCTTTTACAAATATGCTTAATTAACTTTATTGCATTAATATTTTTTGTATTTATATTTTAACTATTAGTTTTATTAATTAATTCGTTAATTTTCATTTTTTATTAATCTGGATTGTTCTATAATATACCAAACATTGTACCTAACTGAAAAGGGAATTTTCCCAGTAAGATATAGGTATACATAAATAAATAAATAAACAAGGAAGGTGTTCAGATTGACCTCGTGTTTAAGACAGGAAGAGTAAATACGTGTGTGAGGCTGAGGCCTTTAAAATGTTCATAGTGTTGAACATTCACTGAGATATTGCCAAAATTGTGCCAATAAAGCATAATTCAACAACAAATACCTTTTTTATTTTTGCTTCACGGTGTTCTATTTTTTTTTTTTTTTTTTAATGAAATATTAAAATTCGTATTTCACTCTGCTATCGAATCGTTTATGAATGGCGTTTTTTTGTTGTTAAAAAAAATCCTATGGAATGAACGTATATTTTTTAAATTTGGCCTTTATAAGTAAAACTAAGGGTTTTGATAAATATTTTGTTGTAAATATTTGAAAATTTACTGAAATCTTAAACAAAAAAGGCATGGTTCATATTTTCTTATTTTAGGTTTAATACACCTACTTGTCAGAACTTAAATCAAAAGTTTACCTGTTGGATGCCAGGTTAATTTGGCCAGCTTGTTAATGAGCAATATAAGAAATTTCAGATAATTAAGAATAACCTTTATTAATGGTTTAATACATTTCTCATATATGACAAAATAAAATAAAACAATAATATCATAGAATTGTAACCATATTTTATATAAATTAAGAATTTTAAATTGGCTTCAAAATAAAATGCAAATTATTCTTATATTGTTTATAAATTTCAGACTGGAGAATAGGAAAAAAATGCTATTAAATCTATTTTTAGGTTTTAATTCGAGGATACTATATATAATTATTATCGCTATAGATAATGCCTTTGAAATTTGAAACTAATACAAAATCATTGATCTACTTTTTATTAAAACTTAAGTTTTAGTTTAAAATAATGTATAACAAATCATGATACATTTTGAATACATATTTTTTATATTTATATAAAACATTCTTTTGTTGTGAAAAATACAATAAAATTCTCAAACAAAATGCAAAGTGATTCAGTGTTTTTGATAACCAATATCAGGTGCTACTGAATATATAGGTATATATGAAATGATTCGCTAAATAAGTTGTACAGAAAAATAACTTTATTTTTTCCTTTTATTAAGATAAGGTTCTTCCAACTCATAAAGCCATGTTTTAAACATTTTTCTGTAAAATCAGCAACATTAAATTTGATCATCTGTGTTGCATCACAATTTCATCATAACAAAATCTAAGGGAATCATATATTCTTCTTGTGTAGGTGGTGTGTGGGTGTGTGTATGGTAATCAGAAAATATATTATTTGGGAAATATGTTTCAATTATTATGGAAAATTATCCTAAAATATTTGTCTCATTGCTGCATCTGCACGTCACCCGAATGTTACTAAAATTTTCTACACTTATAATTATTTCTGCCGTTCGCCTATCGCTACTTCTTCAAAAACACTGAGGTAGGATCCGATCTACAGGGACCATGAAAAAGGTTCCTCGGGCAATTTTTTTACTGATGAAACCCAAATTGTACATCGCTTTAACACAAATTGGGCGTATAGCTAAAAATTATTGATCCAAGATCTTTCCAACATAATTGTCTCAAACATAATCTGCATATCAATCAATCTAGACTAATAATTTTTTGCCAATAGAACTTCTGGAAAAAAATTAAAAATAACTAAAGTTTTTACTAGTAAACCAATCTTCTTGTAAACTGGAAAACATCTTGTCTTTATTATGGACGAAACCTTAAGTTGTGTAGTGGCTTGTGGTAATTTAAAATGGGTGTTCTTCCAATAATTTTATCATTTGTAAGTTGGGTTCAAAACTTGGTATTACAAGTGTACCTAATTATTATCAATACCGTACTGTTTTCAAGCACTACAACTATTAATAAATGAATAAATACTTTAAATATTTTAATATTTGTTTTGTTTTTAATACGTTGAAAAGCATCTATAAACATTATTAATTTGTCAACTGACTTTTCTTCATATTTTAAAATTATTTTTAAATATATATCAGGTTATGTGTAGAAAGCTTGACATTGATTTTTGTGTAAAAAATATTATAAGAAACCTAAAATTTTTCAGTTTTTATTGTAAATTTAATCATTTTCACAATTTGTCACACATTTCAAATAAAATAATATTCGAAAAAACAAGTGAACTAAAATGTGTATTTTATAAGATCAGTCCCATCACAATACATAATATTACACAGATAAAAACTAGAATGACGATATATAATGCGTGGTATTCTAAATTATAATTTTCACAGTTTAACAAACCCCCCTAACCTCCATTTTCAGATTTTTTCCAGAATCAATAGGCTTCATCCCCTTGCAGAACTTGATTTTTTCCAAAAATTTCAACTTTTTATTACTGTTCGTTTTTGATTAGATTTATTTTAAATATTTCAACCTTCTTAACCCCCCTCACTTTTATTGCATTTTTTTTCACAATCAATGGGCCTTGTACTAAAAATTTTATGTTGATATCGCTTTTCATTTTTGATTTATGATTTTTTTATTTTCAACCCCTCTTAAACTTCCCATTTTTAACAATTTTTTTTTTTTTAATCAAAGGGCTTGATCTATTAACGTGTTGACCTCTCTTTTCAGCTAGATGCTTTTTTCGAAAGCATCTCGCTCTCTGGGGCTTACTCAAAAAAGTGAGCCAAAGAGACGCGATTAGTCAGAGCGCAGTGGTCAAAAAATAGATATTAACACGAAATTTATATTTTTATGTTATTTATTTTAAATAATGTGTTTTTTATGAAAAGTAACTGCACAAATGAACCAATGGAGAAACCGCCCCTGTGTGTAAAACATTTGAATATTTTAATTAGTCATTGCTACTTTATTTACTGTTTTTGCATAAATCTTATGAGGAGAATGAGGAAATATCTTTGTGGAACGTTTATTATAAATAAATTCACTTATTGTGCTATTGTTTATTATCCATGTCTTGACATAATGATAGAAAATCTTATACAAAAAATACAAAATACTTTTGCAGGTTTATTTTTACTGAATCTGTTAAATATTGAAAACCTACATGTTGCCTATTATTTACTTGGTTTTGTCCATATGCTGATAAAGGCATCTGGTCTATATACCTTAACAATAAATTAATTTTTCGAAACACAGCTGCACAATCTAAATATTAGTAATATTTTTGTAAGAAATTATATAAAATGCTGTTAAATTATTTAATTCACACAAAATTTGACACCCTTGTATATTTCTGTATCTTTAAAGTGTGTAGGATTGGTGCTCAACGGCTCTTAGGCCCATACTGTGCATTCTCTTAAATTGATAGGCCGCTCTTAGCTCGTCACCCAGCCTACAGGTTTGATATAGTTGAAAACGTCGCTTTGAGGTAGGTGTCTCTCTTATATCGGCCGGTGTTCGCCAAACTCAAACATTCTAATAGATGAGAGCGTCGGCAGTTGTAACGGACGTGCTTGATAGTCTCATCTTCTTGTTCGCAACTCCTGCAGTGTGTAGAATCTGACAGCCCCATGCTATCTATAACCCCTCCTGTGGTTTGTTTGGGTAGCGAGTAGATTTTAGACAGTCGGAGACAGAGTTCTTTGGAAATAAAACTTTATTCTTACAATTTATATACAGATAACAATCTTTACAATATGTACATGAAAAGGTTCTGGCTAAATTTCAATTCGTCGTTTCTTCAAATGTTGCTCCCAAAGTATATTTCGTTCGTCGGCGTGGCTTAGTGGTCCAGGATGGTGTTGCGAAGATGAGACAAGAGCTTAGGTTACCTTTGTAATAGGTAGATAGTTGAAATTTCCACAAAATGTATATTTATGTTGCCTACTAGAAACATTTTTTTTTTGGCTTATTTGTTTTTTTTTGCTCGATCATAATAAAGTATTTAAAAAGTACATACATATTCTTAAATCTCGTACGATGCATGGTGCATAACCCTTTATGCGCGAGTCCGACGCGCACTTGCCCGGTTTTTTATCTTTTTCCCAGCTATACAGTATTTTTTTTTTATTAACCACTTTCCTAACATCTTTATTTTTTTTTACAGATAAACTATGTACAGACGTTGTCAGTAAAGATGCTTGTAATAACATAGAACGGAACGAGACTTATGAATGTGCTGTGAACATTGTGTCTATGTAAGTATACTCTTATTTTTTATCCTGTTGATCATCTCACATTAATAAGAACATTACAATATATATTTTTTTTAATGTTAGGACTGATTGTTTTTTAAACATTCACCAAGGACTTCACCAATTTGCTGTAGTTCAACCTGAACAGGCGCTGTTAGCAGCAAATTTAGTTTCAGACAACGTTGTAGTTATTGGTGAAATAGCAGGTAATGAATTAATTTTAAGTTATTTAGTTTATCATCTATAACAGTTATATCTTGAATTTTTAACGTTGGTGTTGTAAAGCCATCTATCGGTTGTGTTTTCTCATTTTGTTTAAAACCTCCTATAAAGTAAAATTAATTTAAAGTAAATTCAAAATAAGAAAACACTAATTTTGCTATTTTCGAAAAATTCAATTACAGGTCATGCAAGGAGCGATTTTTTTTATCCAAAAAATTTTTATAGATTGAGTTATATTTAAATAGATTATTTTATGAATCATTCCTTACGAAAATTCGAAAGTAGTGATTAATTTAATAAAATTTACTATGAATCTTTTGACTATTTAAATTAGATAAAGATTCATAAGATAAAGAGAAATGTTATAGCATGAAAATAATTTTGATACACATTTAGAAATAAATAATCCAATATGGACGTAAATTGATTTTTCGGAAAACAATTGTACATAAAATTTCTTATCTTAACGAAACAATACCCATTAATGTAAATATTTATTTTTTTAGTTTCTACAATTTATTAACTAATGTACCTGCTTAAATTCGATGATTAAATTGTTTTTGTTAAAGTGAAAACTATTATTTACTCATTTACTAAGTACTTTTCTTATCTTATTTTTTATAGTTCTATGGAGTTGAACTTAACTAAAATTTATTTGTGTCATTGATTATAGAGGGTGTCATGGGCGCCGTTTAAAAAAATTCCAGGGAGAGGCAAGTTTTATAGGCAGGGTCCAAACGCCGCAGGCTATAATAGAAAGCCTCGACGAAAAATCGCCCCTTTTGCTATCGTGAGGCGGCGCCCATGCAGGATGTTACATAGTGAAATGTAGAGACACAAAATAACCATGATTAATTTGTCTATCGTATGTAATTATCTCGCCTAAATTTTTATTTGGCCAAAATTCCAAAACCAGTGGTGATAAAAATTTCAAATTTGTCAGATATATTAAAAATATTGATATAAAAACTATAATGAAAATACAGGTTCGGCTTAACATAATTTTGCCTTTTCTTTCCTCCTCAAAAACAACAAAACTTAACAAGATGTTTCAAAAGAACGAAAAAAATTTAGTGTCTTTTCAACATTACTTTTTTAATAATTTGCCAACTGTAGAATTTTTAAATGTCTCAATTTTGCATTATTTCAGTACTTTGCCATAATGTTATACTGTTCTATAAATGTTTTACAGGTCCGTAGTTAGCTATACCATTATTTTTTAAATATTCTATAATAATGAAAAATTCCGAAATTAAAGATCATTATTTCGTATCAGTTTAACATGAAAATTTAATTATAAATTTAACTTTTTTATGTTACTAGTAAAGTAATTTAAAAGCTAATACTATTACCAACAATTGAATAAAACATGAACTTAAGGGGGTGTAAGGTTAATTCGTGCAAAACGGGCACATTTTTGTGAATTTTTTGTGACGACACAGTTAAAATCTGTTTATTTAAACTAATGGTACATTAAAGTATAACATTTAAAGAATATTGTGTTAAATTTATATGTAGAAATATTAAAAAATACGAAAATGGCAGCAATTATTTGGAGGTGTCTCGGAAAAAAGTAGAATTGCGATGCCCCCTTTTGGATCATCAGAAATAAAAAAATCAAAGTTCTTTCGTTAGATAATCGTTTTCCCCAGGTAACCCTGAGAGGGTTTTTCGAAATTTCAATTTTTCACTTTTTGGGAACACTGAAGTAAAAAACGTGATTCTTGCGAAAAAATAGGCTAATTTGTAATATAAAATAAGAAAATATTAACAAATCCAGCGTTACCTCGTAAATTATGTACAGAAATAGTGTTTAAAATTTCAAAAGAATAGGTGCAGTAGTTTTGAAGTTGAGGGGCACCAACTTTGGAAACGTGAGTTGTGGGAGAAACTCTTTGAGTTTTGAACACTAAAAAATTTGAGATAAAACGTTTATAAGCGAGTTTTATCATGAGCGCTTGATCTACTACTGATTCCCATTTCTTGCATGGAAGTTAGTAAAGCAAAAGAACGTACTGTATATAATTGGCCTGGCATACAAGTATTAACACGTTTGTACTTGTGTTGAAATTTCTATAACGAAAGGTAGGGGGTAAGGTTAGGGAGATTATACAGGGTGGCTCACGCTCAACGGGACGGAGCTTTATGGGAAAACGACCAAAGATATAAAAAATTCGTTTGGGAGGAATACGTAGGTTACAGACGGCTACAATTTAAAATTTGTTAGATGTATACAGGATGTCCCACATAAGAGAAAATATACAAAGTTATATTATTTTTAATGGAACACCCTGTTTTTTATTTTAGAATTAAAAACTACATCAAAAATAATGTCAGTTAACTAAAGGTTCCCTATTACTATTATTATTAGTTTTCGATTTATTTGAATTTTTAAGGAAAAAAAGTCTCCCAAAAATTAATTGTTTACTCTTGTTTGAATAATTTTTAATGAACTAATTTTTTTTCTTATGTGGGACATCCTGTATACATCTAACAAATTTTAAATTGTAGCCGTCTGTAACCTACGTATTCCTCCCAAACGAATTTTTTATATCTTTGGTCGTTTTCCCATAAAGCTCCGTCCCGTTGAGCGTGAGCCACCCTGTATAGAGAGCGAAACAGCTGCCAGGGAAGAATGGCTCCGAGAGGAATTTTTTTTGTGGGTGGAAATCCACACCAGGCATATGGTTCTGCCCGTACCTGGTGGTAGTGTGGGACTCCCAGTTGAAGGGTGCAAGGCCGGTGTACCCACTAAACCCACCCCATCGCCTGAGTATGAACCTATTTGGGACTGTCGTCGGGCATTACTTCGAATAGGTCGGCGGAGCTAATGTTTTTACCTTTCTTCTTGTATTCTTTCCTTCATTTTTGTGGATATGATTATCATGGTCATCCTATTTTTTGTATTCCAGTTTTCTTCCTTTTACAGCATTTTGTCGACTAGGTTCTCTGGTGTCAGTTGCCCTATTTTATTTACAGTTTCAGTTCTAACCTGTATCTATCTTTCACAGTTAAAGAACGTGTGTTCAGCACTATATTCTATGTTGCAATATTGGCATTCGTTTGTCTGGCTAAGTTTGAACCGGTATAAGAAGGCCTGAAATTCTCCGTGTCCAGACAAGATCTGGGTCAGGTAGAAGTTGACCTCTCTCCACTTTCTATTGATCCATGATCTTATATCCTTTATTAGCAGCTGTGTCCAGTTTGCTTTCCCATCATTGACTTCCCACACCCCTTGCCATTTATCTACTATTTGTTTGCGAGCGTCTCTTTTTTGCATATTTTGTCTCATTAGCTTCCTTTCTTCTACTAGTAGGTCTATAGGCGGTGTTCTTGCTATAACCAGCAGGGCTTTTGTTGAGGTTGTCCGGTATGCACTGACCATTCTTTTAGCTGTTCCTCTTTGAACACTTAGAAGCTTATCCCTGTGAACCTCTTTGTGAATGGCTCTCTGCCATGTCGTAGCGCCATACATCATTATGGATTCCACCACGCTGCACAATATTCTTCTGCTTGCCTCTCTATGGCCTCCTACATTAGACATGATCCGGCTGATGTTTCCGAGAGCCTTGTCGGTCTTTTTTGCGGTTTCCAGTATGTGGTGTCCCATGTTCAGGTTCCTGTTCAGGTAGATCCCCAGGTATTTAACGTTTTGTTGACAATGCCTCGTCACATTTTCTACGGTAAACGAGATATGTTTGATTTTGTTTCCTGCTGCAAGGAGAACAGCTTCCGTTTTTTGTGGGGCCAATTTAAGTTTTTTATCCTTCGGCCATCGACTATTTCTAGCGTCTCCAGATGTTCAGCATCCTTTGCTACGATCGCAATATGCTATCAATTTTACGCCTCTAGGAATAGATACATTTAAAGTATCATAATAAATATTCCATAAGGTTGGGCCGAGGATTGACCCTTGTGGTATGCCACATGTGATTTCTTTCTGTCCTTTTGCCCCTACGATGAGCTTCCTATTGTCCAGATAGCTGGCTATTAGGTTATAGGTAAGAGGAGATACCTCTCTCTTTCTTAGCTCCTTCAGAATTCCTTCCCAGGGCGCAGAATGTCGATGGACTTGCCCTGCCTGAATCCATATTGGTCCGCGTGCAGATCTCTGTTTTTTTCCACATATTTATTTAGCCTTTCCCTGATAAGGCTTTTCAAGTAGTTTTCCAAGAACATTTAGCACACATATAGGGCGATATCCCTTTCTCTATAAGGACCAGTTTCGCCGTTTTCCATTTTTTGGGAAATTATCCTTCAAGCAGTATTTGGTTAATTACCTTTAAAAGTTGGCCAGGATATTTACTTACTACCGCTTTTATGACCTCAGGTGAGAAACCGTCGGGTCCTGGGGCTTTCTTATCTTTTAATTTTTTCATTTGCTTTCAGCAATTCACTCGTCGTAAAGAGCGATATTTTATTGATTTCTACGGACATCCTGTTTCATTTTGCAACCTGGTGAGTCGGGAATAGTGTTTTTGCAACCTCAAGCTGTTCCTGGTCTGTCATGTCTTTTAACTTTTTTCCAAGCCGCCTTTTTTGCCTCCATGATAGCTTTTTTGAAAGTAGCTTTACGTTGTGTTCCACCTGTCGACGAGTTCTCCGTTCAGCATTGTTAGTTTTTTTGTTTTCCCTGATCATGTTTCTTCGGGCTCGTATGCATATTCTACACCTTTCAGCTATTTCTTCCGTCCACCAATATACGGGTTTCCTCTTACCTCTAATGCTTATCTTTGGAAAAGCTTTCTTGCATGCTCCCTTTATTATTTGGTTTAGCTCTTTTACCTGTAGAGTAATATCGCTTTTTACTTTCTTCTGCATGTTTCCCTTGCTAGCTCTCCACCGTTCGAGTCTGTTCTCAACGCCATTTTTTCCTCGGATATGTCGTATACTATGTATGCGTGATAGCTTAAACTCTCCTATTCTAATATCCTCCAGGTCTTTACTTTTGGAGCTAACTTCTTAATGCAAAATGTGACATCAATATACGATTATGTTCCCCTTCTCAAGAAAGTTGGTACATTACCCTGGTTAAGAACTACCAAATCTTCTCCCAACCATTCGGCCATTTTCTTACCTTTATTTTTCTCCGTCCTAGATCCCCAATTGTAGGCGTTGGCATTGAAATCTCCTCCGACAAGTATCTCTTTATCCTTCCTCTGTTTTCTCATGTCTAATCTTAGAGCATGTAGAAACTGTTCAAAGCGGGTCGTGTTTATGTTTGGCGAGATGTAACACCCATAGATGACAGCCTGTTTGGTTTCGACCCAGACAAAACCGGAACCGCTTCCTTTATTTAAAACTCTGATTCCTCCAAGCATCTTAATTGCTACATCCATGTTTTCTTCAATCCTCCATGCACTGTCTAGTATTTTCTTTCTATGTGGTTGGGCCATGATAATCATATCCACATTTTCCTCTTCTGCTATTTTGTATGCCATGTCTGTAGCTTCTCTACCCCTATCAACATTTATCTGTAGTATTTTAATTATAAATATTGTTTCGCACACCTCTCTTCTCCTCTATTTGCGCCTTAACCAGTTTCCTGTATTCCAAGCAGCGTGTTGTTTCAGTCACATGTCCTTCTTTATATAAGTAGCACCGTGGCTCGTTCTTCTAGTTTTTTTAAGATGCCCCATTGTCCCACACTTATAGCAAGCACTTTCCCTTTCTTCCACTATACATTCAGGGAGTCAATATATGAAAGACTTTGGAAATAGATATCCGCATTTTTAAAATCCAATAATTATTGCCAAATATCGGGTGGATTATTGTCAATGGCCCACTATGTATATGATTATCACTTTAACATTTGTATGGTCTAAATTTAATATTGTTAAGAACCGAACGTATTTTTTTTTTCATGCAAATTTTCATTAACTTTAGTAGGCAGTTAAATACAAACAAGTCTTTTAAATAAATATTAATATCTTGCAGATCATCCACCAATTCAAACGGTTGTTATAGTTCGTAAATTTTATAACAATACTTTTGAAAATTTAAGAGGTAAACGTCTTTGTCATCCTGGTTTCAAGCACGACGAACTAATTACTAGATATGTCTTACAAGAATTCGAATCGAGAATAATCAAACTTAATAACACCTATTGTCAAATCAATGATAATGCGACGATTTTGGAAAAGCAAATCAGCGTTTTGTCTAGTTTCTTTGGCAATAGTTGTCGTCCAGGCGTATGGACAGATGATGATGATGTTCTGGACAAATCTTTGAGTGAGTATTGTTGAATAAAAAGTACCTTAAAATATTTCAGTAGGTACTAATTTATGAATCATTTGTACAGAGACAAAATATTCTAACCTCTGCGAGCTGTGTGGCCAAGAGAAATGTGATGTGACTTACCAAACACCTTTAAAGGATGCACTTACCTGCCTTACCCAAAATGGCGGTGATGTAGCTGTCAGTAGCCTTGCTGATGCCTTAGTGTTCTTTAATGACACAAATAACAATGAAAACTTCCTATACCTCTGCCCTGATGGATCAACAAGAAATTCTTCATTGAACTCGTGTACATGGACCAACCAATTGAAAAGACTTATTATTACAGAAAAGTGAGCCATCAGTGTACCTTATTAATTTGAAATATTGTTAAATAAATCTATTTTCTTTTAGAACTGTTGCAAATGATCCAAAGGCTTACTTGGAATATCATTTACTTGGTCATTTTAGTGCTTTTGCAATTCAAAATTTGGGATCAAACCTAGCTTTAACTGAGTCGCTGGAAATACTGCTTGGACTTAGTAAATCTGATGTGATCACTTTTATAGACCCAGTTCCTCTGAAAACTTACGTTTCAGGTAAGATTAGACAAGATTTGAAAATTTATAACAGTATGTGTATATCTTTTTTCTACTTCCACATGTATATTTTATGCACTGACTAAAATTCAGTCTACTGAATGGATATATTTGCATATCTATTCTAGTAAGGATATAATAGTGTATAACAATTTATATTTAATGACCGGTTTACTATAAAGAAAGTGTTTTTTAGCTCGTCGAGAAGTTCCCACTCTTGCAAACAACACTTACTGCCAACGCACTGTTAGTTGGTGTACCGAAAATGACAACGAACAAAACAAATGTCTGTGGTTGCAACAAGCAGCATTAAATACGGGTCTGCAACCTGTTATACAATGTGTACAAAGCAAGGATACTGACCCAGTGTCTTGTTTAATTGATATACAAAATGGAAAGGCTGATCTAACTTTTGCTGATGTGACTTACGGGTATATAGCTCTAAAGTAAGTTTTTATTATCATTGTGGTATAAAATAGAATCGAAAGCTTTATTTTCAAGAATGCAGTAAATGGCGTCACGATAATAAAATAAAACTGCTATAAAATAATATACAATACTAATTTTTTGGTTGTGTTTCGTGTAGAACTTGTAGTGACACACTGCATGCCTATCGACTCAAACGTTAATAGTGATCATTAACACGTTGACTGCCAAGCAAAAAAACATTTTTTTTTCTGTAGGGCAAAGGGCGACAATACGTTTATTGGGCTTATAATTAACTTCTTATCCGTTTAAGGGTCGGTCTTTTCACCTTCAGATAAAATGCCAGGTAATTTTTATCTCCCAAGTAACTTAAAAAGTAATCTTTTCATTTCTGGGTAAACCTAACTTCTGAATGATAACTTAACTTAGTTATGAAATTCCTGATAAAATACTTCACTGATGGATAAACAGGTACCTACATAACCACATAAGGTTAAAAACTACTGATACTTACCATACATATTATTTATTTGAAAAAAACAAAAAATTAATTATCTGACAGATAGTAACTCTCAGATAATATATCCGTCAGTTAGTTATCTGGAACTTTATCTGAAGGTGAAAAGACCGACCCTAAAATAAAAATGTTTTTTCGAAGTATTTACACAAATAATAATAATAATAATAATACTCTCCCTAATTCACCCCCTTACGAGTGAATTTTAACCCCAAAAGCTGAGCTTGTCCGGGGAAAGGGACGGCTATTATTATTATTTGCCGTGGCGCTCCGGGGCGACTTAAAGATGATTGATGGTGCCATTTGACTTACAGGTGAGGAAAACCCGGAAAACCTCACCCACCATCATCGAGACGGTAATGTATGGCGAATTTTTTTAATCTGCATGTCATATCAACAGAAATTAAATTTCTATTAATACGCCACACATCAAATCCTAAACCGAACCATGCAATTTAATTAAAAATCCACATGGTCTGGTCTGGGATTCGAAACCCAGCAGTCTCAGACTCATAAACTTGCCTATAAATGAATATAAGCGCGATAGACCGCTACACCACCGTGCCCGATCTCTAGTAAAATTCTTCTGTGGCACCGCTGGTCCCTTGACCTTGGTGGAACCACAAAACCAGGCTGGCAATTTGTAAAAAGGAAAATAATTCCAACTCAATTGTGATCAAGACTAACATTATTGTATACTAGTGAAATGTGTAGCATTTGTTGATTCCATTAGAGACTGGAATTGAGAACCTATCTATTTCTTGCTGAAGAGTCCTAATAAGGACGAAACCGGTCCAAGAATGATGTTCTCCTTAGTGAGCAAAATCAAAGGTAGAGTGTTTAAATTTAAGTTCTATTTCTGCTGTCTTGTCTTTGAATATAATTCAATACCTGTTGCGGTATTAGCCAAAGGAGTAATTGTTTTCTGAAGGGAAACGGTCGCTTGTAATTATGTGATACTGGCTTTTAGTTTTTTTTTTATTTTATTTTGCAGTAAAGGTTTCAAAAAGTGACCACCAGAATGGCCCTCGTGTACTAGAAGGGAAAGATTCAATGATATATAGTGATATGAAACACCCAGTGTACAAAAATTTAAATTTTGTTTGAGATTCTTATAAGAGGTGGTTCGTTCTTTAAATATTTCACAAAAACAATTAAATCAAAATTAAAAAAATAATTATTTTCTTTACTCTTCAAATCCTTTTCTTATTTGCAAACCCCTGCACTGCTGCTTTATGTAATCTAACTGTTGTTGGTATATGTCTAACTGCTTTCTCTAATTTAACTGGGCCTTATCACTGATATCTGTCTAACCGCTGTGCCTAATTTAAGTGGTTCTTATCCCTGTTCCTTTTCTTTGCTGCTTGGCTCTCATTCAGCTTATACGCCTCCGCTTCCTCGGTCCCCTTTATTTTTCTTTCATGTTTTACGTCGTTTTATCTTGTTTTACTTTGTTTTCTTTATTTCTTTCAACTTAACAATAATCGATTCAAACTATACAATAATCCATCTTATAATTATTAGCATTCAATATTCCTTTCTGACAATCCAAAATTCCATTCTGACAATCTCTCGAATTTTTATGACAATTCCCAAAAAAAATCGACTTTATGATTTTTTAATATTGGCGTTTTCGACTGATGAAACTGGTGCGCATTTTTTAACACTCGATGCAAAATTTGTTTTCGGCTCGTAAGAGCAGTGCGAACCGGGTCAGTTTTTGAATTTTCGGTTGGAATCAGTTGAACTCAAAAAAATAAACCGGTGCGCACTTTTGTGAACCGAGTTTAGAGACAGGGTTTCAGTTCAGTTGTAACAAATATGGCGATGGCAAATGAAGAGTTGTTTCTAAAATATGTATATTTTTTAAAATTTGTAAAGAAATATTAAAAACTTCTTCGTCAGATTCAGAAAATTTAATTAGGGTCAAGTTTAATAAAACTAAACTTACAAAAATAAAAGATTACATTGAATCGGTGGTGTCGCACCTGGATGACTCCCAGGTAGGTACCATAAATATTTATGTAAGTCCTGTATATGCATAGTATACGTTGACATCTTAAGAACTTAAACATAAGTACCTATGTTTATGTTAATCTGTTGATAAAATATTCTATAACAATTTAAATAAATGTTTAAAATAAAGGCTTGTCTTGGATCTTGTTTGGAATTTGGAAGGTACTACTTCTACTTATCTCTTAGATGATAGCTGTCAAATACAATACAATGCACTGGGTTGTCAACTGCGTGTTCGGTTGGAATAAGTTTGTATGACGTCACTAAATTGAACCAGGGCTGAGCAACGAAAACTTGCACTTCACGTGTGTGAACTGAGTGTGACCAGTCGAAAACGCTTTATAATTTTAGATTTTTGACAACTTCGCCACCCCAGGATAGTTCATAAATTTTGATGACGTCACATTTTTCCATATCAAATCCCCAAAATCATTGTTCATTCAATATATTCTCCAAATATACTGAAAACAATAAATTAAACTTTTCAAAAAAAAAAAAAATAACTGCCTTGACTATTTATATTTTCCTTCTTTAATTATTGATTTTGCTCGTTTTATTCAAACAATAAACGAACTATAACGTATACCATTTCATAACTATTTATAACTCTCTATTATAATTATGTTAACTGTTTTATCTACCATATAACTATCATATCACATTCATACTTTTATCTCATTTTTATATTATAAAAATCCCCTTATTTTCTCTTTTTTTATATAATTCAATATCTTCTGTATTTATAATCTTTCTAATGTATTTCTTTTGTTCATATTTCCTTTATTCAACTTTTTTTTTTTTTCATCTCAAAATATCCTTTACATTTCCTCTTTAAAATCCTCGTCCTTATTTTGTTTAACACTAACTTTTATGTTTATTTTTCCTTCCTTCATTTTGTTTCCTGTTTTTCTCAATCTTGTTTCTTTCTTTATTTCTAAATTCTTTTCCATTTATTTTTATTTTATTTTTCTTATTCTGCCATTTGATCTGTGTCCTAATTTGCTTAATTTTCTTCCTCGATCTCTTTTTCAATTCTTTAATTTTCATTTTACTTTTATTTTGTCTATCAATACTTATTTCTTTTTCCGGATGTTTAATCTGTCTTTCCACACTAACTTATTTTTCTTCACTTTCTATTTTTGTCTCTTCTAGTTTTATCTTTGTATCTTTTTCTGGTATATTTGTTTATTCATTTATTTCTGCAATTTTATTTTTCTTGTCTTTAACTTTTATCTTCTTCTGATTTAAATTTGCCTTCTTTCCTTTGTTTCTTCAAAGTTATAATCTGTATCCACTGTCCATTCTTTAATTTTCTTTTTTCTTTCTTCATATTGATTTACTTCTTGTAGTACTATTTTTCTTTCTGAATTTTTATTTGGTTTAATAGCTTTTTCTATTTCTTGCATTTTGTTTATATGTGCTTTATTCTTCTTCTTTTACTTCTACATATGCATCAATCAACATTTGCAGTATACCTTCCGTTGTTCTTCCTTTTATTATTTCTTCTTCAAAAACTTTTCTGCTGCAACCTCAAATTTCTCATCTTGCCATTTCTCTATTTCTTTTATTCTTCCAATCATCTCCACTCATATCTTTTTTATTTAATCTGATTTATCATTTATAAAAGTGTATATTTCCTCTTTATCTTCTCTTCTTTAATCGATTCTGTCAATTTCTTCTTTATTTTCTTTTCCATTATTTTCATCATTTTAATCATTTCTTCCTTATCTTGTCGATTTTCATAAATTTTCCTTATAAGTTATTCCTTATCTTGTTGTCTATATTTCTTCATATCATTTCTATACTTTTATTAAATTATTGTTTGCTTCTCTTGTTTTTTTTTTTTTTATTTCACTAATTATATTATTTACATTTTGTTCATCAATATTCCTTTTCCAAAATCTTCCACTTCTTCAGATTGTTTCTCCGACAATCCAACCTTCTTTCATCCTCTTAAAACAATTTAATTTTATCCCTTTTATATTTTTATACTTAAAACTTGCACTCAATACTTTTATATACTACCAAATATCTAATTTAAAGATCAAAATCAACAATTAAATAGAAAAAATTATAAATAGTCTTACCCAAATTGAAATTCCAAATTTTCCTACTAATTTTCCGATTTCCAATCCAAAAATTGCCCCACGTTGGGCGCCATTTGAAGTGGAACACCTAGTATCCAAAAATTAAAATTTTGTCCGAGACTCTTAAAAGGGGTGGTTCTTTCTCTAAAAATGTCACAAAAACAAATTTAAAGTCAACTTAAAGTAAAAAAATTAATAAATTATTATTTTGTTATCCTTACCCCTACACTTCATAGTATTTTTGGACCTGTAGTTCGGATAAAGATGTCAACATCAATTCTTAAGAAAAAATAGAGTTGGGCGATATCGTGATTTTTAAATCACTCTGTTCATCGTGACTGAGGTTACTATTAAAAGATTCATTGTTTACTGATCTGTAACTTACAGATGCATTTAGATATCGTTACTATTACTGTATATTTGACTAATAATGTTGAATACATTTTTTTATATTTTTGGATATAAATTTTATAGTGTTCATTTTAAAACTAAACAATAAATGCACAATAAATAATTAATAAATTTGGTATTCTTTTATGATTACAGGAAAGGTTTGACCTCTGTTGCATATCCTGAAACCTACAACATGCATCTTGCTTCTGTAGTGGTAGTTGTAAGAAATGATAGTACTGAAATTAACAGTTTGAAAGATTTGAAAGATAAAAAGGCCTGTTTCCCTCAATATGGAGGACGAGGTAATTGATATATTTTTTTTTTTACATTTCCCAGATCTAACGGTACTTTGTTTTAGAATGGTTGGCTTTTATCGATACTTTAAAGTCGAAAAACGTAATGGAAAAATCTTGCGACTACGGCAAACTGTTCGGCGATTTTGTGAGTGACAGTTGTGTTCCTGGAGCTCACGATAATGACTTCAATGCCGGTTTAATACAAAAAGATAAACTTTGCAAGCAGTGCATAACAACCTCTTCCATCGGAAGTAAGTATTTTTAATTGATCTAAATTCTTATTTTATACTATTTGTAATTCGTTTCCCAATTTTTATAGCTGCTCAAACTTGCAATACCGACCAATTCAATAAATATTATGGTACAGATGGTGCTTTGAAATGTCTGGAAAATAGAGCTGGAGATTTCGCTGTTATCACTTTAAAAGGTAAGCTTAAATTTTTGTCGCAAAAAAAATTAATATCTGCACATCGCTATTTTTGATTTTTAGTCATAATTTGATGTTTTACGTTAGAACTATAAAAACATTAAAGTGAAAAAATTTCTTTTACTTATTTTTATATAAAATAAAATTCTCTACAAAAAATTTCAATTTTTTCTTCGATTTTAATCGTGAATAACTTCTGAAGAATTAAATTTAGGCAAAAATTTTAAGAGACCTTTTTTGTAGAACATTAAATTTCCTTTAAGAATCCGACGTGAGCTTTTTTAAATATTCATTGATTCATTAGTTACAAAATTTCAAAGTGAAAAGGACAAATCGAAAAAACACATCGATCTATTAAGCTCAATTACTCGGAAACGGCTCGTCTGACAAAAATTTTCAATCAGACCTTTTTTGTAGAGAATTTAATTTTATATAAAAATAAGTGAAAAGGAATTTTTTTCACTTTAATGTTTTGAAAATTCTAACGTAAAACATCAAATTATGACTAAAAATCAAAAATAGCGATGATAGACCTCTTAAAATTAATATTAAGGGCTCAAATTTTCACGAAATTTTTTTGTCATCCTGAATGGCATTCTCGATATAGTTAAAAAAAAAATAGTCAATTTTTTTGGCCCAGTCTATTACAAATACCTTCAGTTGTAATTTTTGTTCAATTAAAAACTACAGTGTATACAATATTTTTTGTCAATTATAATAATATGGAAAAGCTTACTGGTAAATATTTAAAATAGTAAGACTTTTCAGATTGTCTAACATAGAAAATGCACTATTTTTATTGGTTGATATGTGAGTGTTGGTTAACGAAAATCAGTGTATTTTCAATCTTATATTTCACCTTGTTATTGTATTGGTCTCTTTTATGAATAAAAATCAAGTGTATTCTTGTATATGAGTAACAAAATAGGATAAACCCCATTATAAAGTAATAATTCATCCATTGTGAATATTATAATTTACAAGAAATAAGAAACCAAGTGTAAGAAAATATTCGTTGAATAATCTTAACAAATAATCTTAACAAATACAACTTGTGTAATTGATGAATATTGAAAATTGCTTCTCTTTTCGCAACCAAAAATCAAAGGAATTTGTATTTCGTTAATCTTCAATTTAATATCTCGTTTATCATCGTGTTGATAAATATTGATTTTGGGCGCCCCATTATGAATTCTGTGGTCGACGCATAAAAGGGTTTAAGTATACATTTTGACTTCATGAGAAATGTGTAGGGGTTTTCTCGCTACATAGAAGACGATTCCTTACGAGTGGTGCTACTTATGGCCGTCTCTCGGGCGCCAGATTTATTAATGTGGTTCACTCCACAAACTCTCGAAGTAGCGTCGAAAGTACTCGGACAGCTACAGATGGATATAAAAAATTTCAGTGCTCAAAGATCACTTAGACACAGGTAATGCAAAATGTTATCAAAAGAGTGTTATGCTAGTTACGTAAGCCGTACTGAGAATTTAGTTGTAAACAAGTTATAAAAGTAATTTTAGAAAACCGACTTCAAAATCGTGCAGATGTTCTTAAAAATTGAGATTTTTTATTTTCTCATAGATCATCAGATACTGACAGATTATATACGAAACTACCCCTAAAGTATTTCTTTCTAAGAAAAAAAGAATCGAATCGGACAACGCGGTAAAGAATTATTGCCGAAAATACATTAAAAATGAGGAGTTTGATGATTTTCTCATGGATCCGATTATTAGACTTTAATCAAATTTATATGAACCACCCCTGAGTTACCCTTTTTCTAACAAACAAAGAATCCCAGAAATATGACAACATGGTAAATAATTATCGCTGAACATACATAAAAAAAATATTCCGACGAATTGAGGACCTCCTCCTTTTTTTGAAGTCGGTTAAAAATGTTAAAGCGTTCTGGAAATTTGTAAAAAAAAAGAGAAAATTAATCTTTAACTGACTCAATGACATTAAACGTTACTGTAGCTCCCTGCCGTAATGACATTTCCAATCTATTTGCTAGTCATTTTTCTTTCGTATACACGAACCAAACCCTAAATTTAAATGATAGTGAAATCCAATCTGTAATAAGCGTATCTTCTTACTTTATCCAACTTTCCAAGATTTATGAAAAGCTGTCAACGCTTGACATTATCGACAGGCGCGCTCACAAAGTTGAACAGGCGCGCATGTATCTCATAGATATATTACCATATTTTGGTATAAAATAAATTAAACATCAGTACCAGTTGATTTCTGAACTCTTCACAATCATTTTCGTTATTTAGATCGTATTTCTTTTTTCCTGATGCCATTTTAATGCCAAACAAAAAAATTAAAACATAAATACAACATACATAGGCACATGTATCTCTCAGATACATATTATTATGTTATGAAAAAATGAACTAAATGGTCTGTGTAATGTAATAATTAAATAAAATAAGAAATAAATATCATAATAGTTTTATAATTGAAAGAAATTTGTACCGTAACAATATTATAACTAAATAAAATTTGTGGCACAGTGTAATCGAAATATGGGTATGAGATCAAATGAAAATGTTCTTTGTTCATTAGTTACATCTGTCTTTATTTCCTATTTATAGAAATGTTTTTCTTGGCACTCCATAAACTTAAAAATTAAGAAAAAGTTAATACTAGCTACAGTTCATCAAATTTCTAGAGGTGTTCGACGCCCAGACAGAGAACGCGCTACGTGTGACTAAGATAGCTATTGTACAGTCTGCTAAACAAGTTATTTTAAATAGTTTTTAATATTTTTAGGTAATTAAATTTTAAAAGTGTGGAATAGTTTAGGGATTAAATTGGTCTGATTGGACTTTCTTAGAACGTTTTTAAAAGCAGCTAAAGATAGTATGTAGAATTGAAAATAATTATTATGCCATAAAAGGTGTTTTGGAATTCCTTCAACCTTTTGAAATTGAGTCAGAAAATATAAATTTTATAGGATAGCGGAAAATACCTATAATTTTTTTGTAGGCCTTTGTAAATCGTGGAAATAGTTTATATTTTATTTCTACCTTATTAAGGAAAATGGTACCTATTATTAATAACGGTTGTTTCTGAAACATTACTAAAATTTTCGAAATTTTGTTTTTCTACAAAATAATAAACTATACTATTTAGAAAAAAATTTATTTCTCTTATAATTTTATAAAAAATAACAGGGGAATATTTACATTTCTTGATCTATTAAACAAAACGATAAATTATCTCGACGAATGACACCATGTTCTAGTACGGAAGCTAGCTTTTCATTTTTGTTGGTGGTTTCATGGGTTTCATATCAATTTTTTGTAATTGTAGTTTACACGTACATATACCTCTTAACACTTGTTTGCTTTATTAAAAAAGTGTGTTGTTGTGATTTATGTCTAAATAAGTCAAAAACAACTTGAATCCCCATATAAAATCAAAAAGGAGAAACGGAAAAAAATTGAGCCTGTAAATGAACACAACTCAGAAACAAAAATAGCTATCTAATAATAAAAAAATAAAATTTGATTCTTGTGCAGCTTCATCTATATCATTAACTGTTTTTGGTTTTTTAATGGTTTTTCTTGGTGATGAAAATTCCGATATCTCACGGTTATCGATTCTTTTTTTCTCTCCAGAAATGCGGACGACAGTGTTTTTAGATACTCCTGTGGCTGCAGCAACACGGTCATTTACATTTTTAAATGGTATTGAAGGTGAATTAAAGTTTCCTTCTGTTCTCATAAACTCTATAACATTGGCTATTATTTCGCGAGATTGACTGTTAATCACGCGGCCTCTTAATTTGCTATTAAACTCTATACTTAGGTTCTATTAAACTGTAATGAGCAAAAAATACAAACGAAAATAAAAGAAATGTTTTAGCGAAATTTACATCTGAACTTTACGTCTGAATGAAATAGTGAAATACTTGATGCGCAGAGTGTACTTTCATTGCGTAAATCCGTCGGGATGCCTGTCAGTAGTGCTTTCTCTGTCTAGCCGTCGAAAGCCTCTAGAAATTTGATGAACTGTAAATACAATTTTAATTTAAATGAGTAATTTGGAATCACACAGTATATCAATTTATAACTAGAACCTTTGTATGTTCTATTGGTCAAAAGAAAATTGATTAGGGCTTGACTTTAGAGAAATATAAAAGTTTGAAAAAAAAAAAAAAAAAAAAAAAAAGAAGGACAGTGGCAGTTGGTGGATAGAAAGGAAGATCCACGTCAAATTTGTCCACATAATTCTCTGGAAAAAAAACCACATACAAATAAATAAAACTACTCCAGTAGATTCCAGACGTAAAGTATGATGTAAAAAGAAATGTTTAACGCAATTTATTAATGGTAATTAATAAGAAATTTGTACTTACCCAATCTCATATTGTTGTCATGCAACGTTCGACAAAGTCCATAAGATAAACATTAAGTTTGCTGGTCCCAAAACACTTTGGTGCTGTCCTGGTCCTGAATTTAAAATATCAATCAGTTCGTCTCTTTGTGGATAAAGAAGAATCACCTTACATAACAGACATTGATAATCAAACAATGTATAAGGAAGGTATTTGTTTATGTGAAGATTTGTTTTTTTGTAATATTTCTCATATAAAATATTGATAACATAATATATTTACCATTGTTCATTTATATTTTCACTGATTCCAACCTTTAATAATATAAATTCAGACTTGTCAATTATTTTAAACGCAGTTATACAAGTGATACAAGTAATCAATAGTTTGAATTTTTCTAGTTTATATTTTATTTAATTTAATCATAGTGCGAATGAGGATGCATAAAAGGTAGTAATTAGTACATATTAATAGAAGTTTCAATTTGAGATATTTTAAAATATACTTACAGAACTTTGTTTAAAGTAAAACAATTAGATAGTTTTGTAGACATCAGTTGTATGAATTCTGGAGTATTTTTATTTTCAATGACAGCTGATCTATAGAGCACGCATCACAAATAATCTGCATGTTACGAGGGGCAAAGAATATTTTAGAACCGCGAATAAATTGAAACCTGAGATTTTAATATAAAAAAAAAGTGATAGAACAAAAGAGTCTCAAGCACAGTTTAAAAGTAAACCTAATAAAAGGTATGATATTTATAGATCTTTTTGAACAGCACAGTACATTATAAAGAAAAGGTAAGTAAATACATTATAATATTGTTATTACAAATTAAAGTTAAAAACAATTTTATAAATATTAAATAAAACATAACAATATATTATCTTATTATATTTTATTATATAGAATGATAAAAGAAAAATATATTGCAAGCATATTTATACATTAGCAGCAAACGTTCAAAAACCGTAAATGAACTAAAAAATATGAATTAAAAATAACTTACTTAAACAGTCGTTTGTAACTGTGAGATATCTCAAAACGGCTGACTACTTGGAAGTCACATCGCCTACTGTTAGATAGGACCACTGGAGCCAGGAAGATAAGTAGTAGCGGAGTGGCCTTGCTCTTTAAATGCGGTAGTACAAATGAAAAGAATATTAATATTTCTGAAGAGCTTTTTGCAAAGGATTTTAATGCTAGAAAAGAAGAATTAATTGAAAATTGTTTTACTTATTCCATTTGTTGGTACATTAAGTAGGCTCGAAAAGATTCAATTTTTAATTAAAGTATAAACTTATATCAAATAAAGCCACCTTTTAAATTCAGGTTTTTCCTAGTATGATCAAATAGTTCCGTGTGTATGGGGAATTTGTTATAAATGTTAAAAGAAAAAAATATGGATGTAATGTAAATAAATATACCAATAAGCTTTTAATATAAAAAACCTAAATGTATACATATTATTTACTTCGGTCTACTAGTTTATCGCCAATTGGAAATATACGTGTAAATTAAATTATATTTAAACGTATAATATACAATAACTAGTGTCTACAAAAAAAACCGTTTAATTTATCCGTTAAAAAACGTCAAGTATAAAAATAGTAGATGTTAAATGTTTAAGAAATCAACCAAGACGAAATTTAAAATCGAGAGTTTATATGAATTTAGTTTAAATAAACTTAAACGTATATTTAGGAACACTGTCTATAAATCGTTCATCACTAACTAAAAATAATCGTATATTGTTTACTGTATTGAAACGTAGAATAATTTACAATGGTATGTATAATAATCGTAAACTGTAAACGTATACGGAATCAACCAATACCAAATTTAAACGAGAATTACGTATAAAATACGTTAATTATACTAATGCGTACAACCTGGGTGTGATATTTAAGATTCTTCTTTTTTTTCGCACTTTCTGTTATCCAGCCGTGAATATAGAACTCATCCTATTTCTATCTCCAGTGAAGTTAAATTATAAATCTTTTTCCAGATATAAAAGAATACAAAGACAAATCCAGTTCCTTTAAAGTTTTATGTCAAAATGGCTCGTTGGCACAATATAACGGCTTTGCAGTAGACTCCGATGCTGCCCTTACAATCATCACTTCCGGAGAAGTGGTAGCAAAAAATAATACCAATTTACGTGAGGACATTATTCAACTATTGAAGGGCATTGAAATCGAATTCGCACAAAATCTGAAAAAAACCTTTAAAGTTTTTGAGAAATTCAATGATATTCCAGATTTGCTGTTTCCTGTAAGTATTGGACCTTTCAGAATAATTTACTTTTTACATTTTTTTATACTTATAAACACAACTGATCGCTGTCGTACTTACTTAAGATCTTTAAATGAAAATAAAATATTGAATGTGTTTAGAAAAGCAAATATTCCACTACAGGTAAACTACTACCAGATTATAGTGCAAATAATTCATATTTAGATAGTAGATAGTGCCACCGATAATCTTTCTGGAATTTTAATGATTAAATCTAATATTTTCTTTAAATAAATATACCTTACCTATGGTAAAAATTATAACTGTTCAAAGTATAATCTAAGCTTTAGTTTGTCATACAAATAGTAGAATTAGTACAAAAAGTACACCTGTAGTATTCTTAGTGTCATCGGCATCAACTGTTTTGGTTATTAGCCTCAAGGGATTACACCCAGGAGGAATACAGAAACAGAAAAATTCTACATAATCATCTAAAAAAGGCAAGACAGAACAATTGTGAGGCAATTATTAAAAAGAATAAACTACATATAAATAATAAAATATACACGGCTACAAATACTACAAAGCCAAGAGAAGAAAACCAAGGCAATAAAAGAAAAATGAGGAACCACACGCATCTGACAATTTAATAAAAAGAACAACTAGAGAAAATAGTCAAAATACGCCTACACAGATAAAATAAATAACAATAATTTATAATTATCTCTCTATTTAAATTCAGATATTATATACTTAATGGATTTGTGTAATTTGTCCATGCCCTAGATATACAAGTATTTTAGTCTATTTTTATGTATGAGAGAGTATTAAAATAATAAAGCGTTCGTAATCCATAGGCGTACCACTTCTTTTAGTAGACAGTTAAAATATTTTTTGAAGTTATTCCTCGAGTATACACTCATATTTTCACCTAATTAACCTGCTTATAACTTCTAAACAGCTGAAGGTAAAAAAGTGCATATTTTTCTAAATTGTTTTATTTTTCCACAAGGTATGTTAAGAACATTGTGTCAAACGGGTTATGTAGGTATAAGGGTTTAAACTTTGACTTTTAAACAACGTTACGTTCATAAATAATAATTTTAATATAAAAACTACTTCTTACCTACAAATCCAAATCAGAAGATGAACTGTCAAGTACTTGCCAAGTACTTTGCAAGTACCATGTAATGTGTATGGAGACTTGTATAGACTCAGCAAGTTACTTGTACTTCCCGTCGGTTGTCGGTAAACGGACCGAAGTCAAAGGATCCGAGTAAAGTTACTACTACTACTACTACTTTAGAAGGCGCGCGTAATGTAGACGATTTACTTGTACTCGAACAAGTACTTGCCAAGTTCAGTCCAAGTCAAGTAACTCGGCAAGTAACGCGTAGTGAGTAGCCGGCTTTACCTACAAATCCAAATCAGAATCGAAATCAGAAGATGAACTGTCGCAACCAATATTTACAATGAGTGGCTCGATCATTTCATCAGTAATATTGTCCAACTTCCACATTTTCTCTTCTTCTTTAATCGTATGATTTACTGCCTTTTCCCAGGTTTCAGGCTTAACATAATTTACAGCCTCCAAAAACAACTGTTTAACATCACTCATTTTAAAAGAATTATTTTTTCTTGAAACTTCTCCCTTTATCTGTGCCCATATCAGTTCAATCGGGTTTACTTCGCAATGATATGGTGGTGATCTAACCACCGTCATCAATTTCATATTTTTTTAATTTCTCTTTATGAAGGGAACACAAATGATACAGTTCTTTTCTCACAGAACCGGGATGGAACTTAATATTCTTTGAATTTAGCCAATTCTGTAAATCTTTTTTTAACCACTTGGTTGTGGGCATTTTTTTCTATAAGTCTCGAGTGATAACTTGCATTATCCATTACTATTATTCAGTTCTGAGGAAGAAGATCTATAATTTGTTCGAACCACTCTTTAAAGACATCAGCATTCATGTAGTCACCGGTACGAGTAGATTCAAAAGTCAATAAACCACCTTTAACAAAACCGTTTGAACTACCGATGTGTACTATTATTAGTCTTCGCCCCTTTCCTGATGGTGGATTTAAACCAGTAGATAAATTATTTAAAAAAAGCCTGTCTTCGACTTGTAACAGTTTCATCTTGCCAAAATGTATTTGGTTTATGTCCCTCGTTAATCCATGTTTCATCTAAATAAAATATATTTCTTCTTTGGTTTCTTATTTCTTTTGTAGTCCTTAGGTAATTTCTTCTCCATACTACAATATCGCTTCTTTATATTAAAATAGACTTTCTGGAATGCTTTTTCCATAGAAAACCTATTTCTTTTAAAAGTTTCCATAGTGTGCTTCGACTCATTTCAGGGTAATCCTTATCATATCGAACCGTGGCAAGAACTTTGTTTACTGTCGGAAATTCTTTTCTAAAGAAGAACGCATGCACTTTCCTTCGAAGTCTTTTTTTCAAAAGATTTTCTAATTGAAATTTTGGTTTTCCTGGAGCTTTACGTGCTGTTTGAAACTCGCCACATTTCTCTTCTTTAACAACTCTGTAAATCGTAGATTTCCCAACACCAAGCGTACTACTAACTAATTCCACTGTGTCATCAACACTTTTACATAAATGTTTGTCTGTAAATGATTTAAAACAATTAAATATTAATGATTTTTCATTAACTGTTAAAGGACCGATTTTTTGTCGTTTACGCGGCCCTTCCAAATTTTCCATGATCACACTAGAATTCACACTGCACCTTGCAAGTTGCAACTAAACGACATTTAGTAAACTGTCAAGAATACACAACTTGGACCTCCTTACTAAATGGAAAACCTATAATCGCATTTTCGGTGAAATTTGTTGGGAAGGTATTTATCTACTTATAATTCGATTACTGTAAGAAATTCTTGGAATTAAAATAAAACAAAATTGGCAAATAGATACTTATTGAAAATAATATTAAGATACGGCTATGTATTCTTTAATACACAGGGCTTTTGGCCTGTCCAAACCTTTTTCTATTGTTCTGTACAGCTTATGTTTATAAAGGACCAATAAAAGACCCAAAACTTGTAATAGCTCAGGTACATTTATTACAATTTTAGGAAATATTTAGATTATTCTGTAAACATATTTAAAATGACCGTACTAAGTTTATGCTGTTTTATTACTCTCTTATACATAAATATAGACTATAAATCATTATCTATGGTGTTTGAAAATTTCTATTTTATTTAAAAAGGTTATTTATGAGCTTGTAGTGTACCACCCTATATATCGCCAGATAATTTGATAAAAAAAAAGGTTTTGATAGTTGTCATTATTTTTCTATAAAATAAAATAAGTTTATTAAAAAGGTCTGTAATTTTATTGCGGCAGTACCGCATAAGCTCTTAAACAGGTGTCACAAATCAAGCGAGTGGAATAAATGCTTTTCGCACATATTGCACACTATATTTTTCCAACGAACATACTTTAGAGTATTTATCATTTTCTGAGATGTCAAATGAAAAAAATAAAAAATCTTTTTTATTTAACCGATTTCAAAAAACAGAATTTGGTTAAAAAAAATATATTAAAGATAAAAACAACGACTAAAAAAATACATTTTATTTACAAAAATTAGCTTTATATTTATTCTGTGGTTATGGAGAACCTGGTATAGTCAAAATGATCATCTAGTTTAACAGCTATGCTCAGAAGATATAACACAGTATTAGAATAGATACAGTTAAAAATGATTATATTAAATATGCTAATAATTATTTTACAGGACTCAACTCCAGGTTTGACATTTGATGGACTCGAATTAGGAAAACACGTAGAAAACTTCAAGACCCTTCTTAGAAATTCGGAAAACTGTCTCGTTAATCCTAGCAGCGGTATTAATTTAGTACCTTCCACGCTATTAATGATAATTGTTATGTTTTTGGTTAGATTCTAGTTTAATAGTTGCTTACTTGTGCCTGTAATAAGACTGGTCTGTTTATAAAGTAATTTTTGTCAGAAAGTCCGACGAGAGGGGTTATAGGTTATAATTAGGATTGGCAGATGTTCGGATTTAGGCGTTAATACCACGGTTTTTAACTATGCGTCACGCCAAAGTACGAAAATGGTCCGCTTTTGACCTAAATGCCACAGTTTTTAATATTCAAAAAGGACCACAAGCTGAGGACGTTTTTTTTTTGAAGCTCGTCACAAGAAGGAGGGCCTGTTTTACAAAAAATACAAGCTGAGGACCTTTCTTTTTTTTAGGAAAGGACCTTTTTTTTATAAAAATGCTTGGCTTTTCAACCTGATCCCTGTCGTAAATCTGCCAACCCTAGTTATAATGTATAAGGGGCCCTTGCCAGGGTTTTGTCCCAGGGCCCCACCATGGCTCTCGGCGGCCCTTTTTGTCAGTATTATGAACACGGACAAGTGATTCTTTATTCTTTGAGTTTGCTTTGGGTAAATTAATGTCCTCTAGAGCACCGAAGACATAAGTGCTGTGACATTCATCTCAAGATTTATTTTCCAATTTTTATTTTAGTGTTCCTTTTTCGTTTTTCTACATTTTCAATTGTTATTTCCATGTTTTCTCTTTATTGCACTCTGTTCCAGCATAATATTTCGATATATTTTTTTTTGTTATCACTAAAGCTTAATTTTTGCAAATTCCCATTTCGACTTTCTTTAATCATCTATCTTATTTCTTCTTTAATTAATCCTATCAATGTATCTTCTACTTTTTCTTCTATCAATTATTCTTTGTGTGATTCGCATTTTCTCTGTAATTTTTATTTTGTTCGTTTATTTTTTATAGAATGCTTCTCTAAGCTTTCCATTTATTCTTCCTTTCTTGAGGATATTAAATTATTTGATTAAATTTACTGATTCCCTCATTGTTCCAAATACAGGGATATTTATTATAAATTACCCCTTTTATCATCATTATAAGACTAAGACATTCGACGTTTAATTACTCGAAGTCTGTATAAGTTCACTAAAAAAATTAATATATTATTTTGTGTTGTGTCCCGTAAGATCTACACGCCACTGTTTTCGTAAAGCATTAAAAAAAAATCAGTCATAGCTACACAACTTTTATTTAAAACATTTTTTTATAATATGCGATAATAGCGATGATAATGGGTGGGTAATTTATAATGAATACTTATTTTAAAGAATCATCTGTAGTTATTTTTTTATTAAAATTTTTGTTTTGATGTAACTTAAAACAGGCCAGTTATTAAAAATATAGTATTTATTTAAAGGCTGTTTGTAGACATAAGTTCGTCCATTTTTATTACATTGCAAACTTGTTAAGAATGACTTTGTTTGTGGAGACGATATCTGACTTGTTTTCGACATATTCGTATTTGCACTATACAGGGTGTTTTTGAAATACATGTACAAATTAAAAAGGATATGTGTCCAAAAACGAATTTCAACAATTTTGACGACGTTCCCCTTTTGTCATTCATTCTTTTACGCTTCCCTTTGTGTAAAAACTAACAAAAACTGCATAGGAATGAAATTAAATTGAAGCTTGATACTCTAACTCTAAACGAATATGAAAAAAATAAAATATATCTATTTTCAACGAAAAAAAATATACTAAAAAAATTAAAATCTCGACACATTTAAACCACCTGTCTATCAAAATCAAAATACTTTAGTAACATTGTCAATAAAAGACCCTCTAGGCAGTTAACATTGAACTGAACTCTGTACAGTAACTCATTTAAATTAAATTACCAACCTACCTCAACGAGACAGAGGCGTACGTCCATTTTATAAAAAAAAAATTAAATTTGCATTCGGGGAAAGTTCAAATATTAACCAGTTTGAATACGTACATGTATTTGATAAAGACACTTATTATATAATTTGTAAGTATGAAAAATTCGGACTTATGCAAAAAAATATGACGAGTACTTACATAACTCCAAAGAAAACTCAAAATCAATTACCAGACTTTTATTTAATGATATATACAATTAATAACAATATTCGATTCAAAGAAATATAATTTGCTTACATTTATTAAAAAATAAGATAAGTAAATAAACATTTATGTAAACATACTTCTTTTTTCTAACATCTATTTCTCTAAACCCCCTTTTTAAGGTCTGATGATGGCCCTTAGTGACCGAAACTAGTTACCCAATGTATATCTCGTTAAATCAGAGTCTGCGGAATTTACTTTGTAAGTTTTCTTTCCCAATGTGGAATGTCACATTTGTGAAAAACAAATGAACTGGATAAATAATATCTGTAGCTTTTGGAAGACATATGATAACTCCAAACACATGATATGCACATGACATAATATTTTAACAAGATTATATCAAACAAAAATTTTAATTAAGTGTACTTATCGATATTTTATCAAACTATAGCAGATTTAGTAGCAGTGCTGGACTTAACATAGTTAGATCAATTGAAAATTCATAAAATATATTTATATTAGTGAAGTTAACAAAAAATCTATTTTTTTGGAGTTAACATATGTCTCCTAAATATCACAGATATATTGTTTGTCAGAATTTCGGATTTTTCACACTTCAAATGTTTATAAACTGGCTGTACATACCAGTTAATCGGAGGCAAATCAGAGATGGGTCCCGCGAACGCAGTTATTATAACAACGTATTAAAATAGGTTTATAAATCGGTAGGCTATGCGGCAAAATTATGTCGGCACAATTTTTTTACATAAAAGGGTAATTTGGGAAGATTTTGCAATAATGAATGCGGATTTGTCTTTTGAATTAGAAACAAAAAATGATAAAAATCGATTGCCATTTGTCAATTGGAAAGTGCCTTAATTGTAAATAAATATTAAACTTTTTAAATTTTATCGATTTGTTTCTAATGTTATCTGCATTTTACCAAAGACAAACGCAGGTAGAGTTAGTAGTAAAATATAACAAAAGTCATTTTCTCAAAAAAGTTTTCGTTGTTTGTTGCCAATTCTCAACTCTAGCTCTCTTGAATAATCTTTAACAGAATTCAACCGTTTTCCTTTTCTCTTTTCCCTTTTTTTCCTTCCTTATTCGATTAACGATACCTTCCTACATAGATTTGATTTTTCCTAAGATAACCATTGAGGATTGGTTCACAAAAGGAAAACTACGAGGTTGAATCAGTTTTTTACCATAATAATACAAACAATTTTTTTTTCTTCAAATCTTCTGACTTAAAAACGCCTTTTCCCAACAAATATTTTACTTTTTTGTTACATTATCGTAAATTAAAGGAAATTGTGACAATCAATTCCACATCATCTACGACAGCAATATCGTCATCAAATCTATGTTTCCCAAGTGCCTGTTCAGTTGTCTCTAGTAATCTTTCATTGTATTACAATCTTCCTAATTGCATTTTCTATTCCTTCCTATCTATCACTTAATTCAAATTATAGGTCTTCATCTTCCTGTATTGGATGTAATAGATTTTTTTTCACTGAACATGGATAGTATCTCAGCTGATTTATTTTTACTGAATGTCTTCTTACATAATCCTTTCTCACTCCGTTGATTCTTCTGAGGGTCTTTCTTAAGATTTCAAAATGCTGTAATGATTACCTGAGCAAGGAAAATTCTTCTTTAGTTTGGTTTGTCAATCTTTAAACCTATTCTATTTTTGATGTCGTCATTCCTCCCATCTCATTTATGTGACCGTCCTTTTACTCTTTGTATCAAGCATGGTCTGTAGGGTTGTATTATTGTGTTTCACCTGTGGTTTTTTGTTTTATTGTCTGACCTGCTCCTTTTAAGGTTTTCAATTACATCCTTTAATTCTCATCTTTGTCTTATCCATATGTTTATTTTTGTCTTTTGGTTTTATCCTTTCAAAAAAGTCTTCCATTCTTTGTTTGCTTTCCAAATTTGTCCAACTGATGTTAGTGAGTTTGGACGATGTACGTCAGAATTGATACAATGCGTAGATTGAAAATTTTGTTCCTTAAGTTTAACACATTTAAAACAAAAGTGACACTATATGAAAAATTCGTTTAGAGTCCGTGTATTAAATTAATATTTTATTTTTAACCTTTTTTGTTAAAAAATTAAAACAATAATAAATAATTCCATCAATATCAAAAAAATCGCTTTGAGTAGTATTTTAATAGTAAACTTTGTAGGACAAAATATTATTAAAAGTTAAAAGTGCTCTTGTGAAAATTTTTAATTTTTGTAAAGTGTTACTTTTGTTTTCAATATGCGTACAAAATTTTCTTGTTTTTGAGAATCCATGATTGCTATTCAAATCTTTTCCTATCAATTTTATATCTCTGGCTGTTTCCTTTGACAGGTTTTCTTTATTTAATGTGAACACTTACCCTAGATCAATATTTTGGTACACTTATTCTAAAGGGCGATAATTAATAACCACATTTCTTAATTAATCATTGTTTTTTTGCGTGTTAATCTTTAATCCAATATTTTCTGAATCTTCTCTAACATGTTAGAAATGAAGACAAAATCATCGGCAAATTTTAGGTATTTAATTTCTTGATGATGTGTAGTCTTAATATTGTTTCACCATCCTAAATAATAATTGAAACTTTTTTAAATATCAAAATATTAATAACTCTACCTGTATGTAAAGCTTGTTAAGTTTTCATATCTGTACCAAGTTAATAGATTTTCTTTCGTTTTTTATTCATTTACACATTTATATTATTTTACAGTGTAGATATTACTTAAGCATATTATTATTTGATCACTTTAACTGACAATTTCACAGAATGACGACCTCTCTTTATTTAATTTATTATTTTATTACTATTTTTTATTTATATTCAATGAATATTTGTTTAAAAAACAAAGAAACTTCTAAGCCAGATAATTAGATAATTTTAACTCTTTTTATGTTTACATTTTCATATGAATTTTGTTTAGCTATTTTTTCATTGCATTAGTTAAAATTCTTTTATTCTAAATTAAAAAAAAAACTATTTTTGAATCATGTCTGTCCAAATTTCCAAGAATATGAGAATTTTTACTAATATTTATTTTATTATACTATTGATATTTTTCTAATGAATAAAATTTTTGAAGAGAGTTGTATGTGTTTTTATTAACCCACTAGAAAATATGTTATCTCAATTTTTGTAGACTGCCGGACGAATTATATTCCCAGAAATACATTATACATATGATAGATGCCATTCTACTTATTTTGCTTGATTTACTTCAATAATAGAAAAGGAGTGCAAATCTGCGAATTTTCATTTTTACATTAATATTTTTATTTTATTATAATTCAGTTCATATTTAGCCTTGTAGATGAATAGAGCTCAAAATCATTGTTTATTTTTCAAAAATATTTTTTTTACAAACATCGCGTTCTTCGGTCGATTTTAATCGTTTGTGTGATCGCGAAGTTTTTGAATAAACGAAATTTTGAAAAATCGTTCTGGTGGAGGACAACATCGCCAAAGCCAAGATAACCAACTGGAGGAAGGACAAAGATCAGCTTGGAATCCAGTTTCGACGGAAGAAGAAAAGAATCGCCCGAATCCGTCTACCGCTTAGGAATGTCAAGAAGTTGCAAAGAAAAGTACCAATGAAACTTCTGATACTACTACTGTAAGTCCTTATTTTCATTTCCTTTTTATTTCAAAGTGATAATATTTTTTTGTGTTTTGTACGAGTGTTATTTATGAAGTGTAAAGTGTTATGTATGAAGATTATAATAATACTGGTGCATGTTCACTCTTATAATAATATAATCAATTCAACTGAATTCCTGAACAAGAGAATGGTTGAAATCAATCGGCACAGTGTGAAAATTTTCATTTAGACAGTGTAACAAACAACCAAACTTAATATAAATTTATTAAAAGCCAATTTACCATATATTTTTATACCCTGCTTAATTGCCAATTTTCTTATTGATACTGGAAGTACTCATAGTATCATAAAACCAGAATTAGCTTTTAAACATTATAAAAATTTATTTTTAATGAAGATTCTGCTCACGATATTTTCTATCAGGACAAAATTATGAATATACCCATTTTCAATATTTTTATAATTAATGACACACAAGTTTTATTTATTTAATTTTAGTCAGAAATATAACGGTATAATAAGAGTTGATTTACTCAAACAATTAAAAGCCACTCTTGATTTAGATAAAAAAAACTTTTAATTACCCCCTGTACTAAAATTTCAATAATTTGCGAACCTAAAAATCAAAATTTATAGGAAACCTTGATATTAATAATCAAATTATAACGGTTCCTGCTAGAACAATCCAAACCATTAAACTACCTGAAAAAGGTATAGGAATTTTAAATTACATTAATTTTGGCAAACAAGTCGAATCCCCTTGTGCTATAGTAAATAATTTTTTTTTTCGCATTTACCACAATCCCTAATAGTCGTAAAGATCCAATAAAATTAACTCTTAAAAAACCTTTTGACATTGAAAAACTAAATTTACAAGAAATAACCTTTACCGAAAAAAATGAAAACTGATACTGAATGTATAATGATCATATTGATAATATTTTAAGAAAACATTTAGAAAAACTACGTTAAAATCATTATAATAATAAAGAATCATAAATTATGTTTCGAATACCGTGACATATTTTATTCTGATAACATACCTTTGACATTTACTAATACGATAAGACTTAACATAAATGTAACAGACGAATCCCCAATTTATTCAAAATCATACAGATTCCTGAAATTCACAAAAAGTTCAAAAAATGCTTGATCAAGATATAATCCAAAATTCTACTTCCCCATGGTCCAGCCCAGTCTGGATTGTCCCAAAAACTAGATGCGTAAGGACAACGTAAATGGAGACTTGTTATTATTAAATGATAAGACAATTGACGATAAATACTCCTTACCCAACATAAACGATATCCTAGACAGACTCGGTTAAAAATACGACAGACTCGGTTAAAAATAGTTTACCACGTTAGATTTGGCTAACGGATTTTATCAAATAGAATTATTCCTGACGACATTCCAAAAACAGCTGTTTCTACCATAATAGTCACTACGAACGTATGCCATTCGGACTGAAAAATGCCCCTTCAACGTTCCAATGCGTAATGTATAACGTGAACTAAAAAACAAAACTTGTCTTGTATATCTTGATGACATTGACATATTTAGCACCTATCTCCAAGAACATATTAACAGAATAAAAACAAAAATTTTCGAAAGACTTAGACAATCCAGTTTTAAAATTCATTTAGTCAAAAGTGAATTTTTATGAAAAGAGGTTAATTATCTTGGACACGTTATCACCTCCAATGGAGTAAAACCTAACCCAGAAAAAATCCAATCCGTTAAAGAAATCCCTATCCCAAAAACTACCAAAGAAATAAAAAGTTTCCTCGGTCTCGTCGGTTATTATCGCAAATTTATAAAAGACTTTGCAAAGATAACGAAACCTTTAACAAAATGTCTAAAAAGGGCGCACAAATTATACATGATAAAAATTTTATTAATGCTTTTGAAACTTGCAAACAATTATTAACAAACTCACCTATATTCCAAAATCTTTATTCGAACCACAGATGCTTCCAATATAGCTTTAGGAGCCATTCTTTCTTAAGGTACTCTTGGAAACGACAAACCCATAGCTTTCGCTTCTAGAACCCTTAATGAATCTGAACAACGCTATACTACTATAGAAAAGGAACTCTTAGCAATTGTTTGGACATGTAAATATTTTCGACCATATTTATTTGGCAGGAAATTTACTATTTTCACTGATCATAGGCCTTTAGTTCGGCTTTTTAGTTTAAAAGAGCCTAATTCGAAATTAGTTAGAGGCTAAAATTAGAGGAATATGATTATCAAATTGTTTACAAAAAAGGTAAATTAAATAGAGCAGCCGACGCACTTTCTAGAATTTCCATAAAATTTGGCAGCTAATAATTCAAATTGCAAGAATTATGTGCAACGTTTCTATATTTTCCCAATAAATGGTAATGGTCTCGAACATTTTTGTTGAATGTGTGAAGTATCTACAAATATATTAACATATCGCACATATCTTTGTCAATACAAATAAAGGAAATTGAATATGAAGAGTATAGTGAGCCTGAAGATATACTTCGACCTGACGAAATTAAAAAAAAAGATTATTGAAAGTTATGTTTTTTTTATTGATCGGCATAAACAGATAAATGGTTTTTATATTTGTTAGACAGTGACCCGTCAAATGGCCCCGACATAATTGAACAAGAAAAATGTGCGCCCCGACATATACGCCCGTCAAAATAAATTTAAGATTGAGATCGCCATTTCACTGTATTTAACATGTTCAAAACAGTTTATATTAAATTTATAGGTTTTACTTTACGCTGTTGCTAGGTACACGCTAAAGTGTACAAAAATCAAAAAATTATATACACGCGAAACGTCACATTGCTGTGGTGGGAGGTGTTTGTGTGAATGCGTCTTGTTTGTTTTCATTTACGCCGTGACTACCAGCAGTATTTTATAAACCTTAGAAGCAAATTTTACATACATGAACAAATAATAATAATGCCGTGACAACAAGAAAACGAAGCAACGACTTCTCTTAAGGTGGCGGCTTTGCCGCCACCAGAAAATTTCAATCAATACCTAGCTACGCCGACCGGCATGAACACCAATGGCCTAGACACAGCTCACCTACTCTGTCAAGACGTTTCGTGTGTATATAACTTTTTGAATTGCGTACAAGTTAGCGTGTACCTAGACACTGCGTTTACTTTATGTAATACAATCTTAAAAGCTTTTAGTATAGTCAAATGAAGGAAAAATAAAAAAGTTTGAGTCACAATAAATAATTTTAATTGGCAACTAGTAGCGGCCAGTTATCAGACCTAGAAAAAACACACATGTGTGAAAATTAACAATACTCAAAATCAAGACGATAAATAAAATGTAACCAAGACATTATTATAATTTAACACCAAACAATTATTTAAAAATCAGTTTATATGAAAAATTAAATATTTTAGAACTGAATTTTTTTAATCAGTAATGAATTTAGGTAATTTAAAGTACTTTGAAAACAAATATTTAATGATACTAGAAAAAATATAATAAATCACATAAATATAACCAGTCTCATAAAATTTACTTATACCTAATAATTTTTGTTTGCTCCGAAAATTATGATAGAAATGACATTAATTATTTTTGTAGATTGTCATTAAATTTAGAATTATAATATGTCATAATAATTGATCAATTATTTTATTGGCTATTTCCAATTATTTTTAATCAATAAATAATTTAATAAACCGTTTATTTGATTTTGTGTGATAAAAATACCCAAAAAGACACTATCTTTATTTTTGAAGATATAAAAAGGATATTAATAAAAGATTTTTAGAATTATGCCGATAAAAAATAAAATACAGTTTAAGTAAATTTAATATAAATGGTTGCGGAAATAAACCTCAATCAAAGTTTCCTACGATATAATGCAATTCATTTGACCGGGGCGCAATTGTTGGGTAGTCTCGTTAGACATACCGTGCAATCCCCAAACAACTTATTAGAGATAATTCGAATCTTTTAGTAATTTTTCAATAAGACAACTAATTTGAAATACATTTACGAAGATCATGTTAATATTCAATGTATATGTAATTTTAACAATAATGGGCAAATAAAGAAGAATCTCATTTGATTATGTGTTTATTCAAATATTTATATCCGTTACACTACTACGCGAGGTGGTAAAGCTTCTTTTTCAAAAAGTTCCATCCATTTTTTGTATCGTCCTTGTTTCATATCGGTTTTAATACTTAAATCAGTATCTATATCCAAATAGTTGAAATTGTTTGGAGTCGATTTTGACCAAATTAGATTTTGCAAAACTTCGTCTTTTTCTGGAGTTGGGTTTCTAAAAGAAATGTGATTGGTGATACTAAAATACTGTAGAACCTGTAATATATTCAAATTTTGATCATATAAACAGTAGGTACGTAAAGCATACCCTGTACTACAGCAAATGTTTTGTTCAATCATCTCAGAGATATATCGCCTATTTTTGTTGTTTATTTGAACTTAAAGATAAGCAAGAAAAATAAACGTTAAAATAGGGTCAGCCAAATTTTTTATGTTGTGGAAAAAATAGACAATTTATGTATCTAGTGCATTCCTCGTAACCCTTACTTTTAAATTAGATTTTTCCATTAAATTGTCGCCATTACCCATACGCATCGTTACAGAAAACCTCGTAACCCACAAAAATATTTAAAAAACTTAATATATTAAACTTTTTTATTGCCTTGTATGCAAACTTTATTAAGTACAATTAGGTTTTTGGCCCCTTTTGTAAAATGCAAATTTTGATGAACGAGTTATTAAAATAACACCGGAGATATACTATGGAAAAAGTGTTATATAACATGATATGAGATTGTACCGCCACAAGATCTTTGAACCACAGCCACTGCTACAAGCTTTAAATTTCTCGAAAAAAAAAAAACGTTCTTGACACTTATTAGGTCACTCAGTTTTCCACTTTACAACTTACAAATATTTTGCAAAGTTTGTCCACAATGTGATCATTCTTGTATGAGTCAATACGTCAGCTTGAGGAAATTGACTTAAATCGGAATTGTCGTAACCTGATAATCTTCTTTTAAATATGTAGAACATCTCTTCCCCATGAGTACATTTTTCAGCTCCTAAAATATTAAAAATTAGTGTAAAATATTTTTATTTATTTGGTTATTTGGGAGATAAACAGAATGAATCCGTGATATATATTTTGGGAAAGGACAAAAACATTACGAGGAAACAAGAATAGAAATAAGTGCTATAAAAAATAAAAATAAACAGGAAACAATAATGTAATTCTCGCGAGCAAAGCGGAGGGCAAAAATATAGGGAAATAGGTTCTTAGTTTGTTAGTATGGCAAAAACCATTATGTAGTTTACAGCAGCATTATACATACCAGGTAAGCTTACGTTCACATTTCTTCCCATAGGACCACCATGTGAAAACTTATAAATATAAACATCTGTATATTTTGATTGAATTTCTCCATGTTTAATAGCCGGATTCAAAAAGTGACTTTCAGTGTTATACTTAAACAAAAATATACTTTGATAAATGTGTGACTCATTTAATTTCTTTGACAAAGCTTACCGCTATAGTAAGTCCTAAGTTATCTTCAAACTTCTGATTCGAACTCAAATATATACTCCTAATTTTTTCACCGATCTCCTGTTTTTTGGCATTATCTACTATATTCATGCTCTTTGGAACAAGTTTTTTCACATTTGCATCGTATGAAGCTCCTCTTTTAGCCAAAGCTGCCATGTCTAGAGTAAAATAAATAAGTTAAGCATTACAGTACAATGTAAAACATTTTGCGATTAGTTGCCAATGAAATAATAAATATAAACTTTTCATTGAATACCACTGGTGTTTATGGCGTACTTGTCGCCCTGGCGCAAAATTCAAGTAGCTGCCCCAGTTTTTATTTAAATTTTTTTGTCACTTAAATACCAACATTTTTAAAAATAAACTCTCTTAATGTAGTTTCATTTGTATCCACCCTTCTAATTTGCATTTATGGTAATATTTTCTTTAATTTCTGTTTCATATTCTTTACTTTTTTTTTCTATAGGTGTTTGTGTTTGCAATAACTTCCAAATCGGACGCATTTCTTCTAGCGTAGGTTCTGGCAAGTAGGGTGCCCAATTTTAACCTTTACAATTATGGACTTGTAACACGGTACATTGAAATGATGGAACAAAACTTTTTTTTGATAATCCTAAATTTTCTGTTGCAGCTAATCAAGCGAGTTCCCAGGTAGCACATTGACGTTACAGTGACGTCATTTTTCACCAAAAATGTAATGTCAAATAATGACGTCCAACTCACGTCATTATGTCATGGCCCAGTGACGTCATTTTGTAACGTTACTCTCACGTCATTTTGTGACGTTATTATGACGTCAATTTGTAACGTTACTATGGCGTTACTTTTGTCTATACCTAAAAGAAGGCCCTATATGGGGCTTATAGGAAATACTATTACAGATAGATATAAATAAGCAGTCTTTATTATAAAATAATTACATATAAAAAATTATTAAAACTCAACGTTGAACACCATGAATACTGGAGATTAAATTACAGCAGAAACTGAAAAAAATGATTATTGCAATAAAAGCAAGTTCTTTATAAATAAATCAATTACTTATGTTCTTCACATCCATTGTTAGAGCATTATACAGTTGTTAATCACAGGCCATTCTCATAGTCATTCAAAAATTGTATTACTACTTAGATTATGATTGCAATGACTAAAATATAAGGAATATCTTATCTAATAACAACAAAATTAAGACTATAAGCTCCCATTTTTTGCAACACACCGATCACACAATGTTAATATTAACATAACCGAACTTTTTCTTTTTTACTTTCTCTTATTTGGCCCTCACTTGATTAGTGACCCAGGCATCATAATATAAAATTCACAATTTTCACTTGAAGGGCGGCAACTTTGTTGGCACTTTAATTGAATTTAAAAATGTATAGGTAAATTATGACGTACGTATGACGTAAAAAAGTTACCTCTTTTTAAAGTCACATTTATGAAGTCTCTGAAACGTAATTTTTAGGTGCTGTAACGTCCGGGACTAATTATCACCAAAAAATGACTTGTCAGTGTGATAGCTTGGTCAGCATAATATTATCCATTTATTCTTTCACCATTTTTAAGGTAATCTATGAAAATAAGGTCATAACATTTCTGGCCGATGGAACCGTTTTCACCTTCTTTGGCACTGGATGGCCTTTCGCTGTTCATTGTATTGACTGCTGTTTGGTTTTCTATATGCAATTATAAACCGAAGTTTTGTACATTTTCCGCTTAAATAGTCACTCTTCTTAAACTTTCATGAGTTATTACTCAGATGTGAGCAATCGTAGCACCCATTCGCGGCCTTTATCTTGCTGAGAGCTTTCTCATGTCCAAAATTTCACGCACGATATTTCTATTCAACGTTAATCTATACCACGTTTTCTGCATAATGCTGTTTCCCCCGTTTTTCCCGTTTGAATCTGACCAATAATAGACTTAGATCCTTTTGATTTTGACGTTTCCTTCATTGCGTCGTTTGTTCCATATAAATTGGACTAAAAACAGCAGAGATACACTTAGGTCCTTCTGGCTTTATACATGATTTTTCTCTTCAACGCATGGAATTTCATCCACTCCCCGTTTTTCCTGTTAAAATCTGAACAATAATAGCTGAGCTACAGACTTAGGCCCTTCTGATTTTGCTACTGCGCAGGATGTTTCTATTTAACGTTAATCTATACCATGTTCTCTACATAATGCCAGCTGAGATAAATACTGAGGACTTATGACATTGCGCAGGATTTTTCTCTTCAACGTTAATCTACATGAAACTTTCTCCCACTTCATGTTTTTCCCGTTTAAATCTGATCAATAATAGCTGAGATACAAACTTACACCCACTTCCCCGACTTTGGAAGTAGTGGCCCCATAGTCACTTTGTATATCTACTGTGTGATGTGTTCGCTCTTTTGAAATCCCCATTGCCTCGCTATCTCCATCAACTTTAATCGACGGTCACTTAAAACAATTTTATGGACTTTTAGGACCGTATCTTTTATTGTAGCCGATTTTGGTGTACCTGAGCGCACTGCATCCTTTAGTGCTTGCATGGACACGTTTAAAATTTTCAGACCATATTCTGCTCATTAAAAATGATAGAACATACTCGCCTAAAGTAGAATCCAGATTAACTTTAATTTCCGTGTGAAAATATTTTATAATAGCTATCAGGCACGCATTTACAGAGGAACTAGTGACATATGACATTAACTAAAACAATAAATAAATGATTGAAATCATAGCCCATTATGGATCAGGCGAGAAACTATTAATACCATCGATAGCCCACTGAGAGCAGCATGCATTCATCTGCTTGTGTAAAAAAATGTCCTTACACTTTTCTCTCGTTTACTTACTACTTACCCTTGACTAATGATATGTATTCCTCAGAATTAGCACCAATTATTAGAGGAACTCGGTTGAAATCACCGCTGTCCAGAAGTTCATAAAAATTTTTCGTTAAAAATGCATCATCGTGTTCAACTTCGACAACTGGAAGAGGATGGTTCTAGAAATGTATTATTTTATTAAGGTTATTCTTTTTATATTATAGAGAGATTATTATTAACAAAAAATGACGTACTATTTCAGTTTTGGTCGATGCTACATCTATTTCTTTAGCAGGAACACTTTGTAAATATTGTAATAGCTCTTGATTGGTCTTAAGGGTTACTGAACTGTTGATTTTAGAAGCAAGATCAAATCCATATAGAGAAGCATCTTTGAGATATGCCCAGTTACTGATTCCTGACCCACTTTCAGCAATAGCAGCTCGGAATAAACCTAAATAATATAAAAAAACAAGTAGATAGAAATTGAAATACTTTAATTTTTTATTAATCCGTCTGTTTGTTCAATAGTGGCAGATACTGTTTAAATAAAATCGTACAATCATAAAATTAATAGGGGTACTGAAAAAGTAGTTCAGAAAGAAGGAAGATCCTTTTTGGTACTAACAATAAGAATAGGTACATGCAGAATCAAAGCTAAAGCAATTACAAGAAATCACGGGAATTACAACTATGGTAGATTGATTGAAACAACTAAAACCTGCAGAAAAAGTAATAGGATAGACTACTGAGCTCTTTTATTACGATACAGAATGAAAATAATGGGTTAGCTAAAGAATTTTACGAATCTAGAGTGCAAGGAAGAAAAAAAAATAACTTCCGTGAAAAAGATGAAACGAACAAGTTCGATGGAAGTTAGAAAAATAAGGACAGGCTGAGAGTATCTCATAACAAATAAATTACATACATTTTAAAAAGTAATATTACAAATCGATATTAGACCAAAGAAATTAGATTATTTAACAAGAATTTCACATTCACTGTACCTATCTACTTTTTTATTACCTCCAGTACATGTACACATTGAATTAATTATTTCGGCCTTATAATTTCTATTAAAGAACAACGTAATTACCAGCAGAAGTTTTACTCAAAATATGTAATCCCACTGAAGCAGCGCCAGCGCTTTGTCCAAACAGAGTAACTTTGTGGGGATCTCCTCCGAATTGCTTGATATTATCCTTTACCCATTTTAATCCTAATCGCTGATCTTTCAAACCAGCATTTCCGGGAACGATTTTGTCCCCTGTAGATAAAAATCCGAAAGGACCCACTCGATAGTTCATTGATACCATGATAACACCTTTTTCAATTAGATAATCAGGTCCGTATACGTTGTACTGAGATGCCCCATCTCTAAAACCGCCTCCATAGAGGTAAACCATAACTGGGAGGTGGGCTGTTGTAGACTGAAAAAATTAAATATTGTGGAATTTTTTCAATGAAAAAATTAATAAATAATAAATTTCTTATAATGCAGTAAGTACGAAATAGATGACAAATCCAGTAACCAATAAGGTTCTTCAAGAGGAATTTTTTAAATAGTACTAAAGAATTTAAAGTTAAAATTTATAAATTTTAAGCGTTTCAAGAAGAAACTTATACATTTTTGTTGTTCTATATTTGAAACGTTTTTGACCGGCATTTTTATAGTTACATTTAGGTGTGACGACTACATTCTGAGTTTGTCTGTATTTAGTTTCATATCTATGTTTGATTTTTTTAACCCATTTGAAAGCGGGCACCCTCATAAATTTTTTATTTCTAGATCACATTAAAAAACTAAAAAATCCCTATTAGCGATTTTTTGAGAAAAAAATCGCGTACGCCGCTGGAACCGGCGAAAATATTTAACATTAACGATTCTATGACTAAATTACTAACAAGCTGTTTATTATGATTTTTATCTAGAAACCCATGCGATAACAAAAATTAATAAAAATGCCTATTTTTTAAAAAAACTGGACTCCGCTTGGCTCCAAACTACAACTTTCTCCCCTCCACATTTCAAAAAAATAAAAATCGTTTAAATTGTTCCACAAATAAAAAAATTATGAAGGTGGCTCGCTTTCAAATGGGTGACTCTGTATATTTGTTTTTGTACGAATACTTCTAACTCTTCCTTCATCAAATAATAATTATGAGTAGATTGTAGTCAGTTTGGCTCCTCCCCCTATCCTAGAATTCCATATTCTATCAGTGGATGATAAACCATTTTCAGGTAAGTGATATAAGTATTTGTTTAAGGCATTTAAATTTAAACAATAGAAATTTCGGTATTTCGGAAATTTGGTTTAAATGTCCCAAAAAGATTAAAATTGTGGCACGTTTGCAAACGTCTTAAGTACGTATAGTTTTGGTACTGTACGTGCACGACGTAAAATGTACGTTTCAAGTTCGTACCAGTACGTACTGAGTATACGTAATCCTCCCAGACAACACACCAAATCCCAGAGATATCGGCAGAATATCTTTTGTGGATATCCAATATATCCACAGGATATCAGAAATATTCCGTGGATCTAATATGGATATCCAAATGTCCGTCTATATCCAGGATATAGAATATATCCTAATGGATATTCAGCAAAATATCTAATGGGTATCTTCCAGAAAATACCAGAAATCACAGAGATATCCACAGAATATATTTTGTGGATATTCAATATATCCAATATGGATATCCAACCAAATGTCCGTCTATATCCCAGGATATAAAAGATATTCGGATATTCAGCAAAATATTTTATGGGTATCTTTAGTAGAGGTTCATAAGCATAAGTAACCAATGATTATTGAATAACGTCGAAAGAAAATAGCAGAGATAAAAAATATTTTAAACACTCAAAATATTTTCAACACTCTGCCTTTGATTTTGCCCACTAAGGAGAAAGTCATCCTTATTAGGACTCTTCAGCAATAAATGAAAATTCTCGACTCCAGTCTCTAATGGGGTGATTAGGACACACATTTCGATCGAACTCAATTACGGCGGGTCGAGCATGAGTAGATGCGATAGTGGTATCGCCATCTATACTTAGTAAGCAGAATCAAATAACATCTAGTGGATATCCACGATGGTTTGCGTTCGCGCCTAGACTTTGATATATTTAGTGGATGTTCATGGGATATTGAATACACTTTAAAAAAATTAATTTTAAATATCTAAACGGTACTATTAGCCACAATGGCGTAATTTTTTAATAATTTGCTATATAATTACTATTATTTATGGACATTTGCTTGTCTATAAATTACATTTCATGGATATAAAATAGATATCTACCATGGACTGGACATTCAGTGGATATTGGGATGTTCGGTAGATATCCAAAGGATTTGGTGTGCTGTCTGGGTGGTTGCATACGTATTTTATTGAAAAACCTGTTTTTACCAAATTCCTATTTAACGTAGGCCGAAAAATGCAAAGAAGAAACACATAGGTAATTTATTTAACCTAACCTAAAGTCTAAACTAAACAGCATTTGTCGTAGAAAAAGAGGACATTTGCCGATTTTCCGTAAAAAGTCACAAGGACATTTTGCTTCAAAATAGGACTGTTCTGTTTAACAAGTATTAGAAATTAAAAATTTAAAAAAACCGACTTCAAAAACGTGCAGATGCCATCACCACATCTTAACCAAATTTATATGGGACCACCCCTGAGGTACCCCCTTACTAACAAAAAAAGAATCATATAAATCGGACAAGGTGGTAAAGCAATATCGCTAAACATACATAAAAAATGAAGAGTTTGAGGATTTTCTCATGGACCCAATTATTAGATTTTGACTAAATTTATATGGAAACACCCCTGAAGTACCCCCTTTCTAACAAAAAAAGAATCATATAAATCGGGCAAGGTGGTAAAGCATTATCGCTAAACATAGATAAAAAATGAAGAGTTTGAGGATTTTCTCATGGACCCAATTATTAGATTCTGAATAAATTTATATGGGACCACCCCTGAAGTACCCCCTTTCTAACAAAAAAAGAATCATTGAAATCGGACACCGTGTTAAAGAATAATCGCTGAACATACATAAAAAAAAAAAATATCGCGACGAATTGATAACCTCCTCCTTTTTTGAAGTCGGTTAAAAAAGGACAGGTGGCAACCCTAACCATGTTTCAACGGTTTCAACAGTTTGTTTTTTGTTAGTTTTATTTAACTATTAAGTGTTTCTTTAAATAAATATTTGTGTATAATTTGTTATAATTGAACAAGACCAAAAATGAGAGAGGTTTAGATCCAGGAGTATATTGACACTTATAATTTTGAGCCGTAGAAACTATCGCTTACTTTACAACATTTTGTTATATTGTTTATATTATATTGTTTTTATTATATAATCTCATAAAATTTTTTTTATAAAAAATACCTAAGTTAAGTTTCTAATTTGATATTATTTCTTTGCAGAAGGCGCTATAAAAAGTAGCAAATGCAAAGAGAAGAAGGTTGTAGAACAGGAAATTGTGAGATGGCTAAGAACAGCTGATGACCGCCTAAAAACTTTCAAAAAAGGTAGCAAAACAATTTAAATTATTCTTTTAATGTAAAAAATTAAAGAAATACAACTTACCTTGTTTACTTTTCTTTGCATTGTACTAATACGTACATTATACATCATAAGTAAGTACGAATAAGGACATATAGTCCGTCTAGGATATGTACTCTATTGTAATAAGTACAAACATAGTGCGTACATTAGGTGCGTACATAGTACGTACATTAGGTGCGTACATAGTACGCACATTAGGTACGTACAGAGTACGTACTTTAAGTATGTATACAGTACTTACATTAATTACTCACTACGTACGTACCATCGTTTGGAAAATGTACGTATTGTAGTGTGAGCCATTTCATTATTCAGTCATGCTCTAATCCTCCAAGTTCCTCTCTGTCTTATTTGGCCTTTGAGGCTCAACTTGTCCGATTATCATACATAATGAAACCCCTTAAGACCAAACATTTGTGACGACTATGGCGGAGGAGCTTTCGATTACTATTCGAGAAAGAACGAGATAATGTTTCTAGTGTATTCCAAATATAACGAGACGTCTCTAGTATTGGTGAGAATTGGTGAACATTCTAGTACCTTCGCCAAACTTTTAAATTTATATATATAAATATTGGTGGAGGTTCAAGCAGTGATCAGTAATTATATGGACTGTGAAGATAAATAGTGAACAGTTTAAAGACATTCGAAATATATATATATAAATTAGAATAGTAGTGTTATAAAATAAATAAGTGTTTAAATAAATTATTAATAAATAAACTGTTGTTTAAAATAAACAAACATCACAGTATTATGTACGTACTTCGAACATTACAGCATGTACACTGTACGTACTTTACGTCCCATCAGTACGTACATAGTACATCCTGTGTACGTATGTGTGTTTGCTGGGTTATTAGCCGTTTAATGAATATGATGGCAAAGTAACTTGTAACGGTAAACTAGTTATGGCCCTTTTGAAATTTGTAAATAACTGGCCGCTAACTTTAATTTTTCAATGGGCCGTTGATGGTTGGTCAACTGTTTTCAACATTTTATTGTAAAATCGTTATAGCCCGTTTGAAAGCCTTTTAACTGCTGCAGACCTAACCCCAACAGTCCAGGAGTTGTCATAGATGGAGACACCGATGATCCCCTGCTACATACTCAACGAGTGGACATGTACTATGCGGCCAGTCTTGCATTGCTGGTATTCACTATTCAGCATTGATTGTAATTTCTTACTGTTACATGTTGTTAGTTTAGAATATTTTATGAATATATTTTTTGTATAAGACACACGTAGTACGTTCCCTTTAAAGGCTTGGCATCATTTTTATAAGAGCCTTATTATACAAGCCTTTTGATAGGAAGTTAACATTAATATTATGGAAACTGATGGTCATCTGCAGGCCTTTCACTACTTATTGCTGGTAAAGTGTCGACGGCCTTTTGCCGCCCGTTGTGATAAAAATTCGACCTACCAATTGCAGACCCCCGCCGAAAGGCCACTACTTGAAGTAACGTACATACGTTTAAAGGTTATTAACTTGCCAAAACAAAATATTTGTTGGGGTATATCCCATTTTAGGTGTTGATCCAAAGTATTTTAAGCAGTCTGTCACCTCTATTTCAAATACAGTTCCTTCATTATTTAAAGTTAAAGATGTATATTTTGTTAATGAAGATGACAGCACATTCTTGGATCAGCTCAGTAACAAGATCGTCCTGTGTATTCACGAGTAACTGCAACTATTTCCATGTACCAGCTGTGTAAACAATTACATATAATCTGCAAAACTTAAAATTTTACCAGAACTATGTGTCTGAGTAAACTGTTAATGTAAAAAGAACAGAATGGGTTCAAGGAGAGAGTGCCCTCTGGTACTCCGTAGAATAGAATA